GGAGGTCATTTTCACCACAATAAGTTCAGGGACGACTTGCATAGCCTAAGATCCTACTCACACGCCGGGATGGGGCGTACACCAACGTCCAGCTTCTCATGCACGCTCCACCATGGGTTGCTACCCCACTTACGCTCCCGAGGAGGCCTATCTGCAGAAAGTTTGGCCAACAATTCCTTACTGCTTTGTTCTAGCCTCTCTCCAATCGAAAACAACGCATTGTGCGTGCCGCACATCTAGCTCCGCAGTTTTTGCGTGGGGGCGGCTTGTTTTACAACGTCGTTGCCAAGCGACGAAAACCCAACCCCGATGGCAAACACCGGGGGGGGAGTACAGTGGGGGGGCGGTTTAGCGGCCTCCAGTATCACGACGAAATGTGGCCGCTATTCAGGGCAGGTCGTTAAACCGAACCAACAACTATATAGCAGTTATACTACCGGGGTGCTGTGGTGCGACGTGATTTTGTGGTAGATAAACAGGGCATATCGCTAAACAGGGGGTCGCTAAACCGGGACCCCCTCCGTCCATGAATATACTTCTGCATCCATTTCTTTCGTCTTGCTGCAGTTTTTTCTCACAACATCGAAGAGCGCACTAGACCGTGCGACAGGTGTCCTTGAGGCTGACGCCAGCAGACACCTTCTTCAAACTCAGTGTACTGTAGCGGGCGTGGGACCGACCACTCGCGCTCTTACGGTACCATTGCCCCTGCGGGATGAACAAGTCGCGCTGGTGCACCGGGTTACAAACAAACCCAGATGCGGACGAAAAGCAAGACAAAGAAATAAAAATGCGGGGGGATGGCTCACCGGCCTTTTGGCACTTGGCCACCGCGTGCAGGGCCACGGTTGTTTTTCCTGAGCTCTCCGGCCCGTACACCTATAGTAGATACAAGGACCACAGATGACAGGTTAACACGCAAGGAAAAAGCGTTGTGGTGTTGGTGGGAATGCACGGGGCTGGGGTGGGGTGGCATTCTTCTGCGGTGCGTGTGACTCCCGGTCTCGGCCGGCACGCCGCCACCACAACTCAACAAGCGGAAACAACGCGGGGGGGTGTACTCATAGATAGTCGTGCATGACGTAGTCGTTAGACCATTGACCTCGCATCCCTACAAAGCCGGGACGGAGCACGCCGGGTTCTCACCGGACCAGGCTCTCACATCACCAAGCGCGANGGGGGGGGGGGGGGGGGGGGGGGGGGGGGGGGGGGGGGGGGGGGGGGGGGGGGGGGGGGGGCAAGAGCAGCACGGAGCCCCTTCACCTCTACAACCCTGCCTCTCGGAAGACCGCCGACACCCAGGGCGTGGTCCAGCGACAACGATCCTGTCGGAATAACCTCGACCTGAGGGGGTGAATGGGGAGAGGACACAACGGTGATGGCGAGGAGACAGAACGTTGATGGGGAGAGGACAGAACTGCCAATCAGATTTTGACGTGAACAAGTGTTGCAGGAGAGAGAGAGAGAGAGAGAGAGAGAGAGAGAGAGAGAGAGAGAGAGAGAGAGAGA